AGCCGTGCAACCTTCCCACCACTCTGGCTTATCAGGAGGTGGTTTATAAACTGGAATGGATGCTTGAACTGCTTACAAACACCTTAACTGTGGCAGAAACATGTAAGTAGACGACTTGCTCATGTAATTAGATGGCTTATGGAACACGATCATTTTATGTTATTACTAAAACATACACAGAGAGCTATTTTTCTGATACGTCAAATTCCATCTTTTAAGAAGATTTTAAGAAGGCCCTTAAAATGTGTTCAGATTTTCTTGTTTTTTTTTTAAACTGAACTGTTCTGTGGTTTTAGCTCCAGCATTAGATTTAAGTACCATCTAGCCTGGAAGTTTTGTTGCTGGTGTTTCTTGATTTTATTAGTTATTGCTCTTTTGAGGGATGTGGGGTTAATTGTCTGGGACTTCATTAGGAAGTCTCTTGCCCTGACAGGTACTCTAGAAATATTTTAAATAAATAAATGATAATGGAAAAGCTCCACAACGTTCCATGTGTTCCCTTCTGTACTACTGCACTTCTAGAATGAGTAGATCACTGTCAAAACCACTTGTTTTATATTTATGCAGGCAATATCTGCACCAGCTCTACACAGAAAAGTTTATCTCTGTTCCTGGGACAGTCATTGCATTAAACATAACACAAGGTGGAGTGATTGTCATGAGGTTGAAGTGACTGCCATGTGGTTGAAGGCTGAAAGCTACATGAACCTAGATCTTGAGGTCAGGTGAATGCTCATGCTAGTAAAGGCTGCAGATGACTGCTTCCACATCAGGTTATAACTGTCACATGATCAGCTTTTAAAGGCACAATCCAATGCATGCTTAGACAGAAAAAAGTCCCACAACTCCCACTGTTGATTAGAGGTTGGGGGTCTCTTTCTCTCTTTCTTTCTTTCTTTTAAAGTTGCCACTGTTGTTGTTAGTTGCGAAGTCGTGTCCGACTCATCGCGACCCCATGGACAACATTCCTCCAGGCTTTCCTGTCCTCCACCATCCCCCGGAGTCCACCCAAGCTCACACCAACTGCTTCAGTGACTCCATCCAGCCACCTCATCCTCTGCCGCCCCCTTCTTCTTTTGCCATCTATTGCTCCCAGCATTAGGCTCTTCTCCAGGGAGTTCTTCCTTCTTATTAGGTGGCCAAAATATTTGTGTTTCATCTTCAGTATCTGGCTTTCTAAAGAGCAGTCAGGGTTGATCTCCTCTAGGACTGACCGGTTTGATCGCTTTGTGGTTCAAGGGAGTCGCAGGAGTCTCCTCCAGCACCACAATTCAATTCTTCGGCGTGCAGCCTTCCTTATGGTCCAACTTTCACAGCCATACATTGCAACTGGGAAAACCATAGCCTTGACTTTACGTACTTTTGTTGGCAGGGTGATGTCTCTGCTTTTTAGTATGCTGTCTAGATTTGCCATAGCTTTCCTCCCCAGGAGCAAGCGTCTTTTAATTTCTTGGCTGCAGTCCCCATCTGCAGTGATCTTGGAGCCCAGGAAAATTAAATATGTCACTACCTCCATTTCTTCCCCATCTATTTGCCAGGAAGTGAAAGGACTAGATGCCATGATCTTAGTTTTCTTAATGTTGAGTTTCAAGCCAACTTTTGCACCCTCCTCCTCCACCTGCTTCAAGAGGCTCTTTAGTTCCTCTTCACTTTCTGCCATTAGAGTGGCATCATCTGCATATCTGAGGTTGTTGATATTTCTCCCAGCAATCTTAATTCCAACTGGTGATTCATCTAGCCCCGCCTTTCTCATGATGTGCTCTGCATATAAGTTAAATAGGCAGGGCGACAGTATACAACCTTGCCGAACTCCTTTCTCAATTTTGAACCAATCAGTGGTTCCATGTCCAGTTCTCACTGTTGCTTCTTGACCCGCATATAGGTTTCTCAAGAGACAAATAAGATGGTCTGGAACTCCCATCCCTTTAAGAACTTGCCACAATTTGTAGTGATCCACACAATCATTGGCTTTAGCATGGTCAATGAAGCAGAAGTAGATGTTTTTCTGGAACTCCCTAGCTTTCTCCATGATCCCGCGTATGTTGGCAATTTGATCTCTAGTTCCTCTGCCTCTTCGAAACCCTGCCTGTACTTCTGGTAGTTCTCGGTCCACATACTGCTGGAGCCTAGCTTGTAGGATTTTGAGCATAACTTTGCTAGCATGTGAAATGAGTGCAATGGTGTAGTAGTTTGAACATTCTTTGGCATTGCCCTTTTTGGGATCGGAATGTAAACTGACCTTTTCCAATCCTGTGGCCACTGTTGAGTTTTCCAAGTTTGCTGGCATATTGAGTGTAGCACTTTTACTGCATCTAAGGCCTGTCCTGCAAAAATATGTTTTAACTAAATAGCCTTCTGTAACCTGAAGCCACACCAACTGCCAAGTACCAAAAAGATACAGGTCTCAGGTGACAAAATGCACAAATTAGCACGCAAAATGCACAAATTAGCTGATTTGCACATGCAAATGTGTATACATAATTGGAATTAAATGCAAAGTTAAATTTTATACCAGACAAACTTTATAGAAGGCCCTTTCTGCTGGATTGATCACAGCTTCCACTCCACCTCCCCCATCAAATCCTGGAAATTGTAATTTGAAAAGGTTCTGCTACATCCCTGAATTACAGTTCCTCCCTGAATTACAGTTCCCTTGCTTCTCTGGCAAGTAGTTTGCATATTTCTTGCAACTTGTCCTTTGAAAAATGGTTCAAAACTGCAGCTGATACAGACTGCACAGTTGGATTGCTGGTGGGAGCTTATAACACAAATTATGCAGCTCCATGGCCACTTAATATTGACTTTTACTTTTGTTTTACTTTATTGTGGTGGTGTTTTATGCCACACACTGCTTGATGGCCTTTGGAAAAACAGCTTGTAAAACACAGAGGCTGTTACATATCTACAATACACATTGGACACTTATGGCTGGACACACAGCACATTCTGTCATGTTTGGCTGATGCAGATGGAAGTTGCATCTCTGGTGGGTGAAGCTGATTCCCCCTTTGTGCCTGCAGTTTAAAGAGCAGAGAAGCAAAAACTTAAGCAAAGCCAATGGCAAAATGATATCACAAAGACTTCTTCTAGCTGTCTTCATCTTCTGATCAGTAATTGTTTGACTGAGCCTTGATCACCTGACAGAATGTCAGGCAACGATGCTACATTGCTAAATATAACTCGACCTGAAATTCAGGCACTCCAGCAGGGATTTGGAATGTTGGCAGCCACATATTTTTGCAGGTGTTTGGTAATAACTGGAATTGAAAAGCTCCTAAAATTAAATGACGAAAAATTATCCTTGTGTTTACTTCTACAGATAGGAGACTTATTTCTACTCACAGTTGTTTGTTCTTGCCCCTTTAGTGATAAAACAGGAATAGTTTTTCTATAGAATGAAGAAGGCTGAGGGTTCTTTACAAGCTGCCTTCCAGAGGAGAAGACATGCATTTCTAGAAGGGATGAATATAATCACTGGGGCCATTTGAGGTAGCCCAGAAATGAACTGTACTAGAAAATGAATTTTCAGTCAGAAACTGAAAATTCTATCACCTGTTTCCACATAAAATTGGGTTGAAGCAGCAAAGCTAAAGTGCTATAAATTTTTCCTTTGGATTGCTTTCACAAATCAGCATTTTGGGGCATGCTATGTTTTGGTATCTCTCATATCCTTGGAAATGTGACAACAGTGACAGTCCTTAGCTTTCTCTGGCATCTACATGGAACATCTGTTCACCTAGTCAGTAGACAAGTTGGATATTCTCCTGATCATCACTCAAAGCAATTTGCTGGTTATGTATGTGCAGGAGGGTGCTTGCTACAAGCTACCATCAGCCTCCAAACATTTTCCAGAATAGAAAAGCCTTGTAATACTACCTCAGGGGAGGAAGCGTGGATTGATAAAGACACATGTTAGAAAGGGTTGCTATTGAAAAGTCCTCTTTCATTCACTGGCAGATTTCCCCACTTTCAGAAAAGGAGTAGGTAGCCTTCCCCATGTCAAAGAATTTGTAGGCTCGTGTGAGAAAAAGCACACTAAGTATGCAGGACCAAGATTAGGATGTGCCACTTAAAGGTCACATGCTGCATCATTATGCTGCCACTTCTTTTCTAAAGCACTCTAGAATAGAGTCCATATTTCAGATAATGTACTTTATTATGCTTCCAACAAACAATTCTCTCGCTAGTTTATAAAAGACTGCCATCTGGTCCAGCTGCAAGTACAAGGAGAAGAATCTCAATCGATTAAGTTTCTTTTGGCTCTGGCAGCTGCTTTGCTATCCACCTACATTAGCTTAAAGCACCTTTGCCCAACCTGGTACCTTCCAGGTTGGATTGCAACTTCCATCATCACCCAGTCAACATGGGGGTGAGGAGGTCTAGCTTAAATAAAGGGGCACACCACCAGCATGCAGTTAAAGTTAAATTCTTGAAGGAGCATTTAAACTGGGAGGGTGTAGGCACACATCCTCCCAGAAGAGCGTTACAACCTTCCATGGCTGGAACATAGGCACTTGTCAGCACTTTGTGCTACACCTCCAACAATTTCCCTGTTAGCTAAAAGATGTATATGGAGTCTTTTCTACCACCTAATAGGACCTGATAATGGAGCTTACCATGAATTGTGACTAATTATTTAATTACTGATGTAAACCCTAGTATAAGAAAAGTACACACCCTGCAGTTACCTTTAGGCTGAAAAACCAATCATCTTAAAGGTATCTTTACCTGGGCCTTGAAGCACAAGCAAGCTGTACAATTTGCAAAGCATCTGTTGAATAAATTCCCACCTTCCTGCTTGCATCATAAGGTGGTCATCCACTTTTTGAGTAAGCATAGCTGAAGTTACAACAATATGGATGAGGCCTGCCAGGTCTCTGTGCTCTAGGAGGGGATACTGTTTATGGACAAGAGGAAAGTAAAAGTGCACATTTGCTTCACACTGTCATCTGGGATTCCCCTCTGCACACTCAGGCTACAAAGAAGAGATACCATCTTACCTCTTCTTAGAAAATGTGGGTCCAAATCCATACAGGAGCAGAATCAAATTAGTCTTCTTCAGGTTCAGTTATAGCTTGTTCACCTTCATTCACTTCTCTGTAATTTTCAAGAGCTAAGTAAGCATTGCAGTTGCTACTCCTGGACTGGGTGTAAGTAAAGAAAAAGCTGGGTGTCATTTAACCAATGGTAAAGCAAGTGAATGATTAACTAGCTTTGTGAATGACGGCCTTAAATGGCATCCTGAATATTCTTCTCATTCCTATGAGAAAATGCAAACAGTAGGAACTGGGTTTTTGGGGTTTGTGTTTGTGTTCATTTCCCTACCTTGACCTACTTGCTATAAAAAGCCCTGCTTGTTTATCCAATCTGCTATCATGCATCTCTTTCAAATAGAGGCATTAAGTGAATGTTTTTGTTCCACTTCCTTTACCTGATATGAAAGAAATGGTGGCAGCATTGTAAGGTTGAGTCCGCAGCTGGATTGGAGCCCATTTTTCTATTCTGGAGTAAGGGAATTAAGCTGGTAATCCAATGGGGGCAAAGCTGGCCTGAGCTGCAACAAGCACCATGCACAAACCACCAGGGAGCCTTCTGGTACTTGGTATTCTGGGAGGCTAAGGGCATTGTCTATGCATTTCTGTGTATTTCCTGGCGGATAAATTCTCCCTAAAGCCTCAACAGGCTATGGCAGGAGGGTTGAATCATATGTATCTGTTTCTTTATTTCTGAACCAGAAAAGTGCTTGATATCCCTAACTATTGCAGTCCTGGATCTGAAAGGCCTCTTTGAATAACGGAGCCTTGTATACATGTTCACAGCAAGGGAAATAAGTCACGGTGCACTTTCTTAGCCAGCCCTATTTTACATGTCTGTTGTAAGAATAAGATGGGAGGACACATACCTTTCCCTGAACTCCTCAGCAGAAAGGTGGGATAACCAACAATGATATCTACAAACGTTGACTCCTCCCATCTTAAGCTGCCAAATAATGGCCTTTCTGTAGCTTCCTGAAAACAGGACCTAGCAAGTCAGGCATTTGATTCCTGTTATTCTGGGAGATGACTGAGAAGATATATGTCTGTATTAAAACACACACACACACAGATTGAAGTGCCCCTCTACTATTAGGAGCAGGAAATATGCCTTATAGATGAAAAAGTTGGAAACACAGGCTGAAGGTAAGCTTAAAGCATGTGTATCACAGCTCAGCAGCCTCAACAGACTGTGGTGTGATGGTTAAATCATATATATTTTCTTTTCTATTACTGTTTTATATTAAGAGCAACTCTTACCTGTGAGACTCCTTAGGAGCCAAAGGATTTAAGGAAATGGGGCTGGTGGTAGGAGGGAGAGGGGAGGTCTGGTGCTAACTATTGGCTTCCTTCTGCAGGGTATGCTGATAGCCATCATCTCCTCAGTCCCAGCCATTAGCACCATCCCAGGCCACCAAGAGTGTTCCTGAGCACTCCACGCAGAGATGGGAGCTGCGCAGAGTCTGCCTGAATAAAGCTCCCAGCCTGCCCATCTCAAGTGGGTGGCTGACTCTCCCAGCAAAATCACTTTGGCATTCTTTTAATTTATATTTCTCACAGACAGTCAGAAGTTGATTAAAATTTCCTAAATCAATTTCTCTTGACTAAGGAGCTCAACTGGATCCCTGCATGTTTTCGGCTTTAATTAATTCATTTTCTCAATTAGCTGGCGTGTGAAGCCAGGAGGAGCCCAGGTAGTGGTTATTATGAACAAATTTCTCCTGGAAGTTTATTAGACTCCAAACATGGATTTTTCCATTGGAACACAGGATAACACCAAAACTCAAAATCCATCCATTCATAAATCAAAGCTGGTATGTTGTTCAATGTATCTTGAGTCCTGGCTAGACCAATTAGCTTTGTATTTTAATAATTCAGGGTTATTTATACCTGCACCTGGCCTACATGGTCTGTATGGTTGAAGGTGCGGCCAAGAAGGGTTTGTGGTAAACTTAAACAGTAATGCTTAGGGAGATCTTCTGTGGATGGATGTTACACAATCACAAAGCGCCATGTCCAGGAACAATTTTGGCCCCATTTGGAAAGTGCACAGCAAAGAGGCATGCACCAGTCAGATTCTTCTTTTCTTTTCCACGAGGGCCTGGGTTGCTGTCTGGCATCTAATACTGATGAGTTTGTGATACTTAGCATTTCTCATGAGGGACTTGTTAATAGATAGTCTTGGGTGTGATCCCAGACCTGGGACGGTCACTCATTTTTCTGTGGGCCATTCTTGCTTCGACAGCCATTATGCCTCACTTGGGTGAGTGTTGAACTAGCGGCGGCCTGAGAACCCTGGGCTCTGGGCAGTACCTCAGCCGAGCTGAAAGTGAGGCCTGCCGCTGCAACAGACAGGCCTAGATTCTCTCAGGGGAAGGTGAGACTTTCCCGCCCTGCCAGTCCCTCCTCCACCAGGCCTAGCCTCTCCTAGCAGCCCCCTTACCATCTTGTCTTGTCCGGACTGGGGCCCTGCCTGAGAGACGTTCCAGAAGTTCTGGAGCCATGAAGAGCCGGGAAGCTTCCCCGAGGCTGGCCTGCTGGATTGCAGACGCCTGCCTGCCACCTGAGGCAGATTCCCAGTAGGCTTGTATCTGCCAGACCAAAGCAGGGCAGCAGCGCTTCAGTGTCAATGACCCCGAAAGGGGCAATGCCGGGGGGGGGGGCTGCCTCTTTGGGGGAGCTGCTTCAGCTGGACACAAGTACAAGGGATGCCTTTTTGACATGACAGCCAGGTGTGTGTGTGTGTGTGTGTGTGTGTGTGTGTGTGTGCGCACGTGCTTTTAGGTCTTGGGGAGGAGGGGCTTGTTTCTCCTTCACAGGCCCTGTGTATGTACAGTGGAGGGGTGTTATGGGCCGGGGGGGATCCTGATGGGGTCAGTTAGTTTAGGGACAGTGGAAAGAGGTTTGCCATTGGGTGGAGTAAGGGGAAAGCAGGCCAGGCAATTAACAATTCTTCTGTCTTCTGGCCCTCTGAAAAGTCTGCCTGCTTTCAGGAATCTAGAGGCTGCATGTAAATGCAGGACCCATGCAGTGTGTGGATGAGCAGTCAATCTAGCAGCTCTTCAACCAGGACTTGGGTGGATGAACAAGGAGGCCCACTGCAACATATCTGCTAGGCACTCTCCAAATAAAATCTTTTGCCTCCCTAGGACTTAGACTCCTATCTCATGACAGTGGAATCCAGCGAGATATCCAGAGCGCAGCCTGGTCAAATTTGTTTTGGGTAAGTTCCTGTTAGTACAGCTTGAGGATGTTACACGGAGCTTGAACATGTTCATTCAATCACCTCTGTACTGGCTCCTTGCCCCTCTTGGCTAATAAAAGCTAGCAAGGAGGAAACTCCCAGTTGGGCCAAGGAGGTGATTAATGCCACTTTACAGGAAGTGTGTTCCATAACTGGGGGCAGCCACCAGCAGAAGAGCTAATAGGCGAATTATGTTCAGGTCAGTTTCTCCGTCACTAATTGTGGCCCTACAGTCTGCCAAGTGTTTGTTGAGCATTAGTTGAGGTTTGGCATCTTTCTTGATGAATGATATGTTCTCATAAGATGTCTGAATCCATAATATCGCTGTCAGAAATAATACACTCTTTCCCCTTGGTATCTATCAGCTATGTCACATTTCAAAACAAAAAGCCCATAAAAACTAACAAATTTGATGAATTTTTGTTCAGTTTCCTGGGTATGAATAATTTTTACAAATAAACATGGTCTACAAACACAACTCACTAGAGGAAGGATTTCATTGTTATTAGGCCATTTACTGACAATCCTTTACTCTGCTCATAGGGATGAATGAATCAATACTGGAAGAAGTTAAAGCATATTCTTCCAGCCACAACAATCTTGTAAGTGCCGAGAAGAAATAAATTGCAGTGGGTAAGAATATGCTGTGCCAAATGGCCAAGTCTGACAAAGCCTGACTTAAAGGCAAAAGCAGATGAAAGGGAGAAATGAGGTCACTTAAAAGCGAATGTAAGAAAACAGGAAGGATGTAGGTGGATTGTGTTGAACCCTGCCTTCCAAACTCTGCACCCTTAAGGTTCCTGTTTCACCAGACATGGAAATAGAGGTATTTCATCATTTTGCTATTTCCCATTCTCAGGGGTGTTTTCAGATCAGTTGGCTCCATCCAAGGACATGTCCAGTACCATAATTTAAAGAAAGACCCAATATGTTGCATGAGTCTTGCAATGAGAAAAGCAGATGAAAACTCCCCCTCAGAGCCCAGATTGCAGATACCCTCTCTAGAGAGGTCTGCCTTGAGTCTACTTCACTGATTTTTCGAAGACAGTTTTATTCTCCCAGGACTTTAAAAAGTATACTTAACTGCTGCTTGTTTTATTTTTTAATATGTTTAAAGCTGCATTTTAAAAACATCTGCTCTATGTTTTTGTGGGGGCTTATTCCTTTTCAATTATTTTTCTCTTTTAAGTGCTATATTTTTGTTTCTACTCTTAAAACAATTCTTTTTAATGTGTTTTATTATTGGCTTTATCATTGGTTTGATTGTTTTTGTTTTTATTATGCATGTTAACCTGACAGCTTGTCTATAAAGAGACTCATAAATTGTATAGGCAAAAACACAAGAAACAGAATCCTAGAGCAGAAGCCATTTTGTATTGGCAAGAGTGAAAAAAGACACCCTTAGAGACTCTACTGGGTGGGGGGGCAGGTTCAATCCAAAGAACATTTACCGTTTTTTGAGACATACAGGAAATACATGCGGCATGTGGGTAGCCCCCAAAGTGGGCTACAAGGCATCTTCATAATCTATCAATTACACACACTGTTTGGGGAAGGGATGGGGGATCAGCTACACAGCATGCTAGAAGCACCTTAGAATAAAACAATAGGGATGAACACAATGCATAAGACAAGAACCTTCAGGACAGGTAAACCATTAGCATCTCTAAGAATGTACCTGAGGAGGACAGGCAAGCATAAGCATCACTAAGGTGTACATAAGAAGCAAGACTTGTAACATGGATTCCTGATCAGATCAGATTTGTTCTTACAGTGTCAGGCTTTCAGCAGCCATTTTGCTCATTTTGTCTTGACAGTATCCTCACTGGCAGAATTGTAAGCTGAATTAAAATTTCTTCATTCCATGCACCTGTTCACAACATGTGCGAAGTTTACAATAGAAAATATCACCAGCATCCTTGTGTTAAGAAAGTCAATTGCCACCAAGTCCTGAACTAAGGTAAATTTGAAACACTCATACAGTGCAATCTTGTGTGTATTTACTCTGAGATAATGGAATTTACTGTTGGCCAGTTGTTATATAACTTGGCCCTCCAGCTGTTGGACTGCAGTTTCCATCAGCCCTTGCCAACTAATGATGATGGATAGGAATTGCAGTCCAACAGCTGGAGGGCCACAGATGCCCACCCCAATATAAAACACAATTATAATCAGTAGCAAAGCCTGTAATAATATCTAAACTATGGCCAAAATTGATTTCTTAAAAAAAGAAGTGTTTGTATATGGGTATGTGCAGAGAGAGAAACAAAAATGCAGGTAGATAGATGGATAAAGAGAGAAAGGATTGGAGGATATTAAGACTAAATCTGTGAGCTTTCAGGATTTGAGGTTTGTAGTCTACCAATGAACGGCATGTAAAACAGCACTGCCCACCCCATTTTGAAGGCTGACTCAGCTTGTGCTCTGCGCACCAACACAAGCTAATTTTGAGGACTGTCCTTTGCTTCAGTCTGTGCAATACCTTTATCTCATTTTTCTCCAACATCAGTCTGTCAGTCCACATTAATCTTTCCATTCTCCAAATACCTGCTTTGCTCTCCCAGCTCCAACATGCTGAACACAATGGGTTTCCACCCCAGCAGCAGGTGCCATTATAATGCACACAGCATAGGTGCTTTTGACTTGATGTTGATCTGACAGACGCTCTTATTGACCTGCATTCTGACCCTCATATGTCAACTCTTCTTGGCTGGCTTTTCCCAAGGTAAAAGGACAAATAGAATTAAGAGACATTACCCTTACCCAAATCCGATTCTGGCACTACTCACAGGTCTCTTAGTGGGAAATCAAGGTATGTTAACACTTAACATTTGCTCTTGGCTTTCAGGCAGGAACTGAAGGAATGGCTAATCATGTCCTTTCTTTAGAACACTCCTCTCTAATGAGGTTGGTGCTTCCTGTCCTTACTCATTTCACCCATTACTTTTCTTGAACCAGCTAATGAGGAAAATATACATGATTTCTTCTTTGATACCTACCAGTTCCTGCTAGTAGCAAATGCCTTTCTGTATACATATATGTTAAACTACAATTGTAAAGACTCCTGCCTTAGTTGCCATTGGCTGAGCATAGATGTTGAGAAGGTAGAAGGAAGAAAAAGAGACCAAGGTTGAATTCAAAGGATCTTGAAATGATAAGCCATGTTGCCTAATTTCCCTTCCCACATGTGCCAGTTCATAGAATCATAGAATAGTAGAGTTGGAAGGGCCCATGAAGGCCATCTGGTCTAACCCCCTGCTGTTGCAGGACACCAAGTCACACCATCCCACTCAGATGGTGTCCAGCTTCTTTTTGAATGTCTCTAGTGTGGGAGAGTTCACAACCATTCTAGGCAGCTGGTTCCACTCTTGTGTTGCTCTGACAGTAAGGAAACCTTTCCTGATACCTAGCCTGAACCTGGGTTATTGCAACTTGAGAGTTGATTTCTGTGTCCTACACTCTGGTATCAGCAAGAAATTATCTTGACCTACCTCTTTGTGACAGCCTTCGAGAAACTTATAATGATATCATGTCCCCCCGCTGTCAATCTTCTCTTCTGAAAGTTGAACATATTCAGTTCTCTCAGTCTTTCCTAACAGGGCAGTGTTTCCAAAGTCTGGATCATTTTTGTTACCCTCCTCTGGACCCTTTCTAGTTTTTCTGCATCTTTCTTAAATCTTAGTGCCCAGAACTGGACATAGTATTCCAGATGAGCTCTGACTAGTGATGCGTATACGGAAAATATTACTTCTTGTGATTTGGAAATAATACTTCTATTAGTGCATCCCTAAATAGCATTTGCCCTTTTTGTGGCTGCATCATGTTGTTGGCTCATATTTAGCCTGTTGTCCACACTAACTCCGAGGTCTTTTTCCTTTTCAGTGCTGTTGAACCATGTATTCTCCATCTTGTAATGATGCATTTGGTTTCTTTTTCCTAGGTAAAGCCCATTTGTCCCTATTGAATCTCATTCTGTTGTTTTCACCTCAACATTCAAGTTTATCTAGATCGCCCCGGATCTTCTTTCTATCTTCTAGGGTGTTTGCTATTCTATCCAGTTTTGTATTGTCTGCAGATCTGATTATCGGTCCTTGTACTTCCCCATCTAAATCATTAATAAAGATATTGAAGAGAACTGAACCCTGCGACACCCCACTAGTTACCTTCCTCTAGTTGTGAGCTGCTTAATGAGCCTAATTACCCTCACTGGGTATGAGTTGTTGTGATGCCCAAACCCAATATGAGTGGGTAGATGAGGTATTTTACCAACCATCCTGCCACCCATGATTTGTCCTAACTTTGCTGGGTGGCTGGAAAACCACCCTCAACCACCTACCCTCACTGGGTTCAGACAGTACAGCAACCCACATCTGGTGAGGGTAATTACACAGCTATTTAGACAGCTCATGACTAGCACATGCCAGACAAGAAAGTAAGCCACCATGGGTTATTTTGCCTCCATGGTAGTGCAAACCCACCTGGAAAAAAAAAGCAAACAGCACCAAACAGAGAGCAGCAACATAAAGCAGTAGAAAGCCTCTTTTAAGCAAAATACCAGGAAGGGAAAATGCACTGGACCAAAGTGCATTTCAATGGCCGCTTATAGCTCAGCACTTTGTTCTGGCCTTGAAAAATCCATCTCGCTCCTCTTCCCTTCACTCCCTTCTCTTGTGCACATGTCTTGTCTGTTCTGTTTGCATGCCTGGTGGCAGGGTCTGTCTCTTTTCCTGATTGATGTAAGCTGCTCTTCCAATTGTCTGAAAAGTGGAAAAAAAATATAAGTAAATAAACCAAACAAGGGTATTGAGGGATGAAAAGGAGAGTAGCCCAAAGGAATGAACAGACTATGTGGGCAGAAGGAAGAATTGTATCCATAAATGGAAGGATACCAGCAGGGAAAGCATACATGTAGGCTAACATAATGAAAATTTTCACTTAACTCTCTTCTACTTGACCTTTACTTATAAAAGAAAATGACCTTTTCTGTCTCAATTTGTGAATCTTTGGATTCCATCCATAAAGGCGTGGGGTTGGGGGAATGTGGCTGTTCAGAAGTTGGTAGAGTACCACTCTTATTATCCTTGATCACTGCCCATGCTGCCTGGGGCTGATGGGGGTTGGATTCCAAAATAAAATCTGAAGGGCCACATGTTACCCAGCCACACCATACTTTATTGGTTTTGACAACTGAAATTCCTGTAATGGTACTGATACAGTTTGAAAGAACTGAAAAATAGATTTGTGACAGTATTCTCATGAAACATTGGAAGCAAAGGCAAAAAACATTTGGTAGTAGCAAAATCAGGTGGCAATGAATATTGTTAATTCAATCATGATCTATATTTAATCATAAATACACACAAAAATACATGTATGAATAATATGCACACATATTGTAATTCCTGTACACACATAGGAGTTGTTGAGCTTGTCAGCCTAACTTGCAGATGCTAATAGAAGGTTATTTCAATTTTCATTTGCTCAGGCAATCCATATGATCTGCAGTATCAATTATCCCTTTAACATGCAAAATATGTATTGGCAGGCAGGCAGGGAGTAATCAACAGGTAATGACAATTTTCATTAGCTTTGGTAATAGCATGTAGGGTAACCGTGATGAAGTATCAGATTTCCAACTTCAGTCTGGTATAAGCAAGAGGCAAAAATTGGCTTGTTCTCTTCCATCACTCCACCCATATTAAAACATAATAACTAAAGAAACATTGTGCAGATTTAATCCACTCAAACACCATGCTCAGTGCTAGACTGTGATGAGTTTGCCAAGCCTGAAAGATCCCAAGGTCTAATCCAGCTGTAAAATGTGTTTTTGGCTTCCACCAAATTACATCTGAGCTATGGGGAAGCCTGCCATATACAGCATGGGCCTGAGACCACGGTCTTTAAATCCATGTGCACGCTTAGACTGCTGGCCCTCCTTACAAATCTCCCTTTCCCGGTCAGTTCCTTCCTGCAACAGTTCACAGAGCCTCCCTTTTTTGCCATCCTGTGAAGTTTTGCCCCCGCACCCCCTTCTTTCTTTAATTCCTTATTCCCACAACTAATTGTTTCCTTAGATCCCAGGCTTTTTTCAGCCCACTACCAATCACTGCAAGCCTGCAAACACTTGCCTGTTTTCCTTAGTCTATAATTAGATTCAGACTTGGATGGAGCCATTGTGTAATGGTCAGTTTTGAATTTTTATTGTTATCACTGTTAGTTTTGTTCTTTGACTTTTTGTGTTCTGTGGTACGCTTACCCTAAGATGCAGCTTGTACCTTTTTTAAAAAAATAAAACACTTTGTCCCAATTTCTTTACCACAGTGTTCCTTGGTCTGCCAGCTCCCAATCTTTTCATAGTGCATTTCTATCCCTCAAGTGTAGTAACATTCTATCAGAGTCCTATTTCTCATTAGTTATTTTACAGTCCATTACACGGTCACCGCTGCTCTTTTCCTCAAGCTCCCTCCTTCACCTGCCCTTCCTTCTTCTCAGTCCTTTGCATCTTTCCTCTACCCATCTTGCTTCTCATCTCTCTGCATCTTGGCTTCCCTACTCCCACCAATCTTCTCTCAGTCCTCAGCCAGATCCACAAAGTTATTGTCTCTAGAGCCTGGCTTGAGGTCTTAATACCAACTGAACTGGCATCTTCCAGTGTCCTTTCTCCCTCAGTTGTGTGCACATACATGCACCCACACATACAGAAGCAGCGTTCAAGCACACCATATGATATTATAGATAGGATACAAATTGTATGCTATGGAATGACTATATTAGCATTCAAACACAGAAAATAAAAAAGCTAAAATTATTTATAATTAAAAGCACTTGGGATCATTCTTTCCAAACTTTACATTTATATTATGAGTTAGGCCAAAGATAAATTGAAGATTTTCCTACATCTTGAACCCTTTCCTAATCCTGGAAAATGCCACTATTGCTGGAAACAGAACTGGGCTGCAGGCCTTGGAACAGCATGTGCTAGAAGCATGCATGTGAAAGTCACACATTCTCATGTTTGGAGCAAAACGCTTGCCCTGAGCAGAGATCTGTGACTTGAGACATAAAGGATTTGTTCAGTCACAACCACACAGCTGTGTCAGCTGCAATCTCAAGCTAATTTCCCAGTTGTGCAATCGTGTCTTGCAGCTTGGAAATCTCTGCCTTGGTTGTTTATATGTATGAGCTCTTTCATCTCTTCTTGCTCTAGATTATATTGTACATGATGCTCTGCAAGCATTATTTCATAACAAAGAGAGGCAGACCACACTGTAGCACAGTGAAGGGCAGGAACATTGGCTGCATTAGCACTTATTTCCAGGGACACAGGAATGAGTGGAATTAGTTCGAATACAAAAATACACCCAAAAGAAACCACTCATGGCTCTCTCAAAAGTTGTAGCGCCTGCATTTGTCAGCATACATAATCAGTAGACTTTATATTAGATGTAAACATGCCTGGAACCCTCAGTTTCCCTACACTAAGAAGAGACATACAACTTCTTAAGTTTCTCTTAAAGCACAATAGTTCAAGCTTACAGGACCTTAGTAGCATTAAACAATACTTTCCCTTCACACACATGCCATTTTAGGTTTTTATCTCCTGAAAAAGACAAAGCTATGCACCAGGGTAACGCAAATTTTGTACAGCCTATGTAAGTTAGGCATATCAATATACTTTCCATAATTTTTTTCGGGGCGGGGGGGGCAACAGTTATGCATGTCATGAAGCTGCTTCCTTCTGACTGCTGAAAATCAGTCTTCTTTGGCTTTGGAGTTGCCAGTAGCCATTGCCTACTTACATGCACACCTATCATTATTCATGAGCACTAGTAACTTGGATTTCTTGTCTTTTTTCCCTTTTTTCCCCCTGAAGATGTTGGTACCAAAATCCATATGGATCTTTTTTTCTGTGTTTGTACAGAACTGCAGGATATGCAGAACCCCAGGTATGGCTTCTGCAGCTAGCATTGACTGCTTTAGCTCAATCATTGACTTAACTTCATCAGGATATCAAGTGGGAAAAGCTTTAAATCAATATAAATGAATTTTTGTTCCAGACCAGCCAATATAATAAATATTTACAGATCTATGCACCATCTTGCGGATATTTTTGACATACTTCATTGTATTCCTTTATGAAAAGTTATACTGGTTTTGTTTAGATGTTGGCAGATTGGCTGCTTCTTGTCTACCTGACCCAAAGATCTGTCCTTGGTCATGAATAGCACTGCCCCAGCTTTGCTTTCTGAAATGAGGTAATGAAGGCTAGACAATGAGTCAATTTTGCCACCTAGTGGAAGAGTGAGTTTAAGATTTCTGCACAGTGACTATGTACTTTATTATAATGCACAAAAACTGGGCATTTCTAACATTTTTGAGAGAGACCAATCTAGTCCAATTTCCTAAAGTCTATACAGCATTTTACAGAATGTTTGCATATTTTAAAATGTAAATATTATGAACCTGGTAATATTTTCCAGTGGTGTCTAAACTGTATTGCACTATCAGTACATACAAAATGGCAAAATTGTTTTGAAAGCCAAAAAACCTGAACACAATAGGAAAACAGGAACAGAATAGGTAAAATAGAAAGGCAAGACTCAAAACACTAACCCTAAGCCTGAGCGGCTGTCAGACTTGTACTCTGGAATCAAGGAAGTAGGGAATGGAACCATTTACTCATATGCAAATCCTGTGATTTAAATATATGCAAATTGATTGGGCATAAAAAATATCTCCAGCTGGAGGTCATTGCTCCTCCCTTGAATTTATGGGAATAGTTTAAAATCAATAATGTGATACTTGCAGGTTTAGTCATATCTAATAAAATGAGGTCTGAGTTTAGCTAGTGTTGGATGATGCTTGCTTGCTCGCTCACTCACTTGCTTGCTTTACAAACAGCTAGAGAACAGGTCCAGCTTCAGAGTAAGGGTGGAAAAGTCCACTAGTTTGATATGCAAAACCTGGAATTTCAGCTGTCAGAACTGGATATATTTGTGCCTGTCCCATCTAAGTGAAGCCATGGCCCTACCATGGTGCCCCCTTACAGGCAGTCCTCTGAAGGAGAAGCCTACATGAGGGAAGGGACTGGCCTATATCCTGGTCCCTTGGTCCCTGACTTCAAACTCTACAGATTACAAAGGCACTTGTCTCGGGGAAGACTGCTCCTGGTGGCGGAAGATACAACCACATCATCCATGAACCTCATCATCATCAATATTTCTATACTACCCATAGCTACCCCTGGTGCTCTACCACAATAATCATAGAATAGTACAGTCAAGTCACCCATCCAGATTCTAACCAGGCCTGACCCTGCTTAGCTTCCAAGATTAGGCAGGATCGGCACTTCAAGCTGAGCACATTTAAATTGGTTAAAATTGATGAATCCCATTTCAAAAGAAAATAACCCTGCTGTGCACATCCCTAGTATGACCTTTTTATGCAAGTTCAGGTGTTTAACTTCTATGCTCTTGGCATTATGGGATGAGAAGGTGAATGCACGCATACTCTGTTATTACACATCATGTATTAAGCCTGCAGGGAAGCTGGCAATAACATAAAAAGGTTCACAGAGTATATAACAAAGGTCATATCTCATTCCTTTGCATCTGATAAGACGACGATCTTCCCACTTTCTAGAAAACTTCTCCAATACATCTAATAAAAACTGTCACCATTCACTTCCATTTTATGGTTCCCATTCTAACATATTCTTCAACAAATGCCCCCCACCCCCCGCCACTTCCCAATAGGCCATTCCTGCTCCTCTTCATTCATAATTTACTAATAGAACTCTTCATCACATACCAACCCAGGCACTGACTGGTCTCAGCTTTTTAGAGTCTCAGGCAGGTCTTTTCCAGCCCTCACTGCAGAGTTCCGGGACTGAGCCTGGGGCCTTTGGCAAGTAAAACCTCCCCCCAGTGTCATTGGCAGGTGTGTATTTAAAAACACACCAATGATTGATTTTTACAACCACTTTTAAGACATTTTTATTCCAACCTGCTCTTGATTAATTGATTTAAAGGGATATATAGAGGGTTTTAATTTAAATGTTTTATCTATAATTATGTTTCGTTCTGGAATTTTCTGTGCATCACCTTATGAAGGCATTGTACCTCACAAAGCAGTTTAAGATCTCAATGAAGACAGATTGGCTCCGTTTGCATTTTAAGCCTAGACAGGCTTAGATCTCCTTGCTTAGTTCAAATTTCACACAGCAACCACCCTGGGAGGTGGACTGGGCCGAGAGTAAGTGCCTGACCCGAAGTCATCCTGTGAGCGTCATGACTGAGTGGGAGTAGGACCCAGATCTCCCAGGCCCCCAGTCCAACACTCGGCAGTGGACTATACTACAAAACCAAAATATTCTCCTACTAACTACGAATAAGCTGCTGTTTTCTCTTGCAATCGGTCACAAGGCTCCCCGGGCTGGAGCGACTCATCATAAGGGACAGGAGGAGCGCGGGCAGGACGAAGGAAAGAGTAAAGGCGACAACAACCCCGGAAGGCATTTTACAATAAACGATTTGAAGCGCTGGGCGACATTAAAAAAAAAAAGCCGTTTAAGCCACTATTAAGCAGAGCTGACAGATGACAAACCGGGAACAGCGTCTAGGCGGCGTGGGAAGCACCAGCTGTTCTCGCCCAAACCTGGAAGCAACACTCGCCGCTTTCCTATTGGTTGCTTTTTCTGTCAGTTTCGCGACTAGTCCTCCCTCCTTCCCGCGAACGCCTCCTCCTCTCCCTCCGCTCGGCGGGCCCACGTGTTTTATAAGAAGAAGAGCAAGTTGCGTTGTGGAAGGCGGTGTCCTAGGCATGCTTACAAGAAGAGAATGCGTGCAACGCCCAGCTAATATGAAGTTCTTAGGATTCAGGACTGCGCCCTGAAAACTACGCTTTCTTGCCCCAGTGCAGATGTGAGAAATGCCCATAGAAATTCAGGACAGTAGTGTCACTTTGATCGGCGTGTACAAACAGAAACAAAAAGTTCAAGCATACCCCTGCCAATGTCAGCTGTACGGCAAATACAGTCCATTGTCTCCAGTGCTGTAACTGGGAAAGAAGAGCTTATGACAGTCTAGCCATGCAAGTTGTTCCTTATACCCCTTGGCTCAGAACAAGAAAGCACTGTTGAGTTCATTGAGGAGACTGTCTCACTCAAGCTTGCCAGAAGACTGCAGACTCAGCGTACAATACTGTGTATGTTTGGACACGGGTGGGGGAGATGTCCGGCAACTCCCAACATTGCTGAATATTGGAATGTGGAAAGTCTACTGACATCTAGACACCAGTGACTGGTGAATTAAGTTAGCCTGGAATGCAGCGTCTCAGAAGGGTGAAGCTATTTCAGTTCTCTTTTGTGTTCTGAGCATTATGAGGCTAATACAGACATAACATTGCAAGAGACTGAGTCCTCAGTTTCTCATGTCAAACATGCCATTGTTTCTGACATTTTTTTAAAAAAATGAAGTAGCCATTCTGGCCTGGTCTGTTCTGGCTCGTGCATCATACGCCTTTTTCTGTCTAAACATGTATTGCATTGCACGTTAACATTTTGCAGCTCTGTCAGAGCAGCTTACCAAGATGAGTAGATCGACAAACCCTTTGCCTTCAGGTTTTCAAGTAAAATTTAAGCCATTCAAGGAAAAGTAATAGTGAGGGGCTTACAAGTAAAAGAGTCTGGGTGTCTTAAAGGTTAGAGATGGGTCAGAGGCTAGTTTGGATTTCCAGCCAAATATCCCCCCAGCTCCAACTAATCAAGAGGCCACTAATTTTTTTTTTCCACGTTAAATAAAAGGCATATGAACTCTTTCTCCGCTGCCAGTGTTTGTTTCTGAGTCACCACAGCTACGCTAAAATGATGTCCTTTGATTATCCCGCACCTGAAGTAGGAGGGAAAGAAAGTTTAAGCAAACCGAAGGCTGAGTTTTGTAAACCTACTCCTCTAACCATTAAGACCACACTCCTATGCAACTTAGGTTAGGAAAAAGCGTCCTACAACTCCCAGCATGCCCCAGCCGACTGACTGACTGACTGACTGAAGGGTGTTTGCTGTAGGACGTTTTTTCCCGTCCTAAGTTGCATAGGAGTGCGCCCTGCATGTATGCTAACCCGGAAGCTTTCTTTCCAAAGCAGGTCGGATTGTTCTTCTTTTTCTTATCTCTGTAGCCAGCGGACTGTCGCCTTTGCTCCCTGTGAAGCATGCTTCTTTTGTCTTCGTGTTTCCGCGTTCGCTTTTTAGCTAGGTTAGAGCCTTGGTAGCCGCCGTACTGAAGGAAAGCCTGGGTGGGGCCAATGTAGGCCAGGGCCGCGCGGGCGGGGCCGGGGCGATGGGGAATCTGTTCGGGCGCAAGCGGCGGAGTCGGGTCACCGAGCAAGATAAGGCCGTGCTGGTGAGAGCAAAGAGGGGCTGGGAACCAGGGACGGTGACTGCAGAAGCAGCAGGCTGTGCTAAAGGCTCCTGGTGGCCAGATGGAGCACGGGAGCCTTCCGTCCTGTCACACCTGGGAGCCGCATCCCATCTCACGCTCCGCTATCTAACCTGCCTCTTAATGTTTTATACACGCACACACACTCTTATACTCTTCTGCTTCCTTTAGGGTGAGCAGATGCAAAGCACGGCGGGATTCTCCTATTTTTCGTGTATGAGGAAAGGGGGGAGTCTACTAACTGCAGGCAATTCCTCGTACCAGGGTGGGGTGAAAAGCTGCACCTGTCAGCAAGTATCTTTTTGCGCTACTCTAAAGGAACTCCTTGGTTTGTTTACCTCTCGGTCCCTCTACACTTCTTTCTTTCTCTCTAAAAAGTTCCCCATGCGAACAGGAAATAAGTAGTGCTGTTGCTAGGGCAAGACAGCATTCACTTACTAATTACGTTTACATTCTGCAGTTCCTCCAAGGAATCCAAGGTGGTATACCTAATCCTCCTCCATTTTATCTGCACAATAACTCTGTAAGGTAGGTTAGGTTGAGTATCATTAACTCTTCAAAGTCACTTACCCAATGAGCTTGATGGTCTAGTGGGGATTAGAACTTCAGTTTGCTGAGTCCTTGTCCAACAGTACTTAAAGCAGTAACATAACATATACTACATTGAATGGCAAGCTGGGAGGAACATGGTGAATCTAGGGGGATGAGAATATAAAGCTTTGGAAGCTCTAGGAGTCTTGCCTGGTGAATTCCTAGATCACTGGAGGATCCCTAGATCATGTGGGTGTTTGAAAGCCTGGTCTGAAATTTTAACTTATTCACAAGCAGGCTGTCTGACCTTTTTCAGAATTTGTAAAATGAAAATCTTTTCTTGGTTTGCATTCTAAACAGAGTAAGTTCTGTTGATCTTGGGATGAGTTGCACATTCAGGATTGAGCTGACAGGATAGTGCTGGAGTGTTGGCAGGAACACTGGAAATTGAGGAATGTATTCTGATGAGAGTAAAAAAGGCAGGAAAAAGGAATCCTAAGAGTCACTGAAGTATTTTAAGTAGAATGCAAAATAAATACAGGATATGAGGCACTTGGTTTCCGAACGTTGTATTAAAAGGAGTGCAAAGAGACTTGTCAGTGCAAAGTTTGTCTTTTGCGTTGGACTTTTTTCTAGGACATATCAGAATGATAATAACGTAATATTATTTGCATTATATTAAAAGCATGTTCATTCATGTCAGTGGCCCCTATGAGTTGACTTGTTTACTGTCTTGAAGATTGTGGCCTAGGAATTGTGTGCTATTACTTTCACTTTCAGTTCTTCTGCTTGTTCTGTATACTTAGCTTAGAATTACTGATACTCATACATTCTTGAAATCTTCCCATTGTGAGGTATAGCTCAACTGAATTTTTAAGAACTCTATATTATTCAGCAAAGCATCACACTTCTCTTGGCACTGATGTCTCATCCTGAAGATGGGAAGGACATGAGAACAGGATTAAGTGTGTGCATGAACACGGTGTGTGGCTGTCCCACTGAACTCTTTCCTGCTAGACACAGAAATGCCTAACAGTACAGCTGACTTGTTTTGTTTCTTTAAACTAAAAATGTTGGACTCCAGCTTCCATCAGCCTTAGCCAGCATAGCTAGTGGTCGTAGATGATAGAAACTGGCATCCAATATGTGGAGAATCATAAGATGATTATTAGTTAATAGAAATAGTAATATAAACTCCAAGATACATATTATCATATGTTGGGTATCCATAATGACCCTTCTCTATTATATACATTCATGGATTGTTCTCAATGCAATTCTTTCATAGTATTTCTGTACTCAAGCCTTTTTGTGCCTATGTGATGACCCTGGTTGCCCTTGTCAATTATTTTAAATGATTTATTTTCCTTTTGGCTTGTATTTGAAAGCTTTAATAGAAACTGTGCTATTAATATTGACTCTCAAAACAGAAATACCATTCAAAGCTGGAAACACATTCCTGCTACAGAGCACAACGTTGCTATTTAAACAATCATTATTGAAACCACTGTTACTGCAGGTTTCGATTGAGAACACTTTATTAAGATATTGCCAAATACATACAAAAATCAGTTTGCGTATTTAACATAGGATGTAGTATAGCAGATAGCCAGTAGCATGGAGTTCCTGTTTTCCTTGGCACAGTGTAACTTTCGACTTCATCCGTTGCTCTTGCAACATAGTAGACAAGAGGTTCAGGACTTTTGGATTGGTCTGCCTAAGGGGGAGAAGTTGCTGCGATTTTCCTGTGGTCATAGTCATACAACTTGGTAAAGTACCTTCTGATGGCTTGTTTCTTTTCCCCTCTAGCAACTGAAACAGCAGCGGGACAAATTAAAGCAATATCAGAAAAAGATATCACTACAGCTGGAGCGGGAGAGGGCTTTTGCTCGGCAATTGCTAAAAGATGGCAAGAAAGAGTAAGTCATTTCCAGGCAATGGAGTTTGCATGTTTTCTGTGGTGCTCTTTATTTATGCCTGATTCAGATGCTTAATAGATTCTCAGTGTACTACACCCTAACTGTGCCAGGACACATTTGGGTGGAGAAAGCCTAGGTGATACATTGCAGCCTGCTGGTACAGCCACAGTTAAGTGATGCCAGTGATTGTTGCAACTGAAAAACATGCACACAGAAACTGCCAGTTGAAATCCATGGTCAAACTGGGTCACATGTTTCCTCCCCATAAATAAGTACTCAGGCATAGGTGGGGCATATCATTAGTAACTATTTTAAGGGAACAATCCTATGACCCCTGCACATTTGCCTGGAATTGATATTCCACCTTCGCTCACCTGTCCCCTCACAGCCAGTGTGGAAAGCTTGGAGAGGGATCAAAGGGAGTAGTTTGGTGGGTGGGGCAGACAGGGGCAGCAAGAATACAAGGTATTGCAAAGTTGCCCCACTCTGCTTCCCTTCCCCCTGAAGTGCCTACACTAGACAGCTGAAAATGGCTTCCTAGGAAAAATGCAGATCAGGAGAAGCAAGAAGGTGATGACCATCCTTGCCACTTCTCCTGAGTATCCTGCCCCTGGATACCCATAAAGCCTCTGTGCTTGGGAGCTTAGAGCATCCCAATAGGCTCACATACTAATGTCTGAACCAGTTCTGTTTTGGCTGATGCTTTGTTGCTGATGATGCATTCTGGCTGCTGTGCCATTTGCTGAAGCAAATTTTTTCGTATTTGTCCAGGCCTTGGCATTTTCAGTTAAATGTGGCATGGCTAGAAATGTATCTAACAGTACAATTAGTCATTTTTAAACCACAAATACACCAGATACACATATGCAGTCTGTAACTGAATGGTCAGTGCACAGTACTTTTCCTGCTAAATCTGGATTCAATCCCTACCATCTCCAAGTCGAGACAGGAAAAGTTCCTGTCCGAAACCTTTCGTAACTTCTGCTAGTACTTTTAAACTAGGGCTGGCCAGTCTCTTGGCACTCATGGACACATTTGACATTTTAGAAAACTTTTCCAGGCACCAACACAACTTGCTGTGAGTGTAAACTCTTAGGGGCACCCCTTTTCTCTGGAGTTTCATGTTTCTTGTTTGCCTTAATCATTTTTGATTGTGGACTTTTGTTCTCACCTCTGTTAAAGTCAAAAAATGCCTGAAAGGAGGAGGAAGTCCATCTGCCACCAAGGTCTCTACAGCCCCATGGGTCTTTGGTGAGGGATGGGCTTTGCCCCCTCCCAACCTATTTATCAACAGGGTGCCCCTTCCCCCAGCTCTGTTAAAGTTAAGGAGCAATATCACTCCACTGACATTAACAGAGGCAGGGAGAAGTGGCCTTGTTGGGATACTGTCATGCTGGTAAACCCACAACTGCCGCATTGCTGAGCTGCAGCGTAGACAATAGTGAGATGGGTAGGTCAGTGTTCTGACCACCTGTGTTCCCAAACTCTCTGAGAAGCCTTATGCAAAGCTCCCTTAGTATAAGCAAGTTCAGAACCTAGTTGAAATTTCAAGTTGGGAACAACATTAATGCTAGTGATGTGCTTTATAAAAAGCTAGCTATCAAGGACAAATTCCTTTATGGCATCCTGTTATTTATTTATTTATTAAAAGCTTTTGTTTGCCATCCTATTATACAAGATCTCAGGATGGCTTACAGTATTTAAAAAGACAATTACAACAACAATTTCAATAGAAGAGCTGTGATCCTCTTCTCATTGATGATTCACATAATAAGCAGAAGCATATAACATACCCAGCAGACAAAACGCTCTTATTCAAAATACCAAGAACTGGTTGCTGAAATTGATTATCCTGAACTTTCAATCAAACAAAAGAAGTTCTTCATGTGTTGCAAGATTAGTCATTGCTGTGTGATGCTGCAGTGCCCATGGACTTTCACGGTTTCTTTAAAAGATCAGACAAATGCATAGAGAATTCTGTCTGGCTCTCTCCATCATGCCTTGCTATGTTCTTTCCAGGGCCAGCTTTTTGGCTGCTGCTGGAGAATGCTAGACTAGACTAGATGGATTGTTGGTTAAGACCAACAAGACAGGACAGAAATAACTTTGGTTTAAAGCTTTTAAAGACTGGTTTGCTGCAGCCCATGCCTTTCTTTCCTAGGAAGGCAAAGTTTCTGCTGAAGAAAAAGCGTTACCAAGAACAACTGTTGGACAAAACAGAAAACCAAATTAGCAACTTGGAACGCATGGTATGTGGAAACTGGTGACATCTAGAATTTGTGACTGGCCTTGTTGTTTGCAGACCTTCTAAATTTCTGTATCCTACTAGATTTTGTTTAACTTCCTTTAACTTCTGATGCAATTCAGGGTACACCATGGATGGGGGGGTGGGGGTATTTTTGCTTAGCTCCTGGGTCTATGTAATGTCTTCAGTTTTCCTTATGAGTAAGCTGGCTATTGGCCAAATGTAGCACAAATGTCAGAAACTGAGTCTTCCCATTTTTGCACACCCATCATGGGATGGGGTTGAGTTTTTGTAATCTCCTTTGAAACTCTAGTTTTATTTATTTATTAAAACATTTTGTTTTGTGTCCATTCGATGCTCTTTGGACTGACACCTGTTCCAGCCACCTTCAACTCAACTATCTGGCATTAGAGGAGAGGGTAATAGGTACATGCATGTGATAACATTTGTCTGTTGGGGCAGGGGAAGCAGAGCTACTGAAATAAGATAAGACACCTATGGTGTTATTTACGCAGGTGGTATACACACTGTATGCAGTGCATAGAGGATCTTCATAATAAAAAGAGGCATATATCTAAGGATTCAGACAGCCAGAATCCCCTTGCACTGGCTGTTGCCACTAATGGCTATTTCTGCCGGGTGGTAGTCAAGGGAGAATGATCTGGCTCAGGCAGTACAGCCACTGCAGTGTTGTGCAGAAGACAGTAGTGTGCCACTGTTTCCACGTTAGCTGCATAGATGCACACTCCGCCTTGGGCAGACCTGTTTTTCAGCACTTTCCTCAGTTGTTACTAAGGTGGCGGGTAAGAAATGAGATACACACCCTGCACTGGCAGCAGCCAGCTGCCTGTCTTAATCCCTACTGTTGGAGTACAACATGCCATCACCCCTCTTCTGAATTCTTTTCCCTAAGGTCCAGGACATTGAATTTGCACAGATTGAGATGAAAGTGATTGAGGGACTCAAAATCGGCAATGAGTGTTTAAATAAGATGCACCAGGTGAGTATGAGCAAGGTGCTTGGACTATTTTAGACTGGACATTGGGGTTCCTGCATCTATTCTGACCAGGCTATGAATCATGGGCTTTTCTTTCTGTAGGTTATGTCAATAGAAGAAGTGGAGAGAATCATGGATGAAACCCAAGAAGCTGTTGAGTACCAGAGGGTATGTATTGCCCTGACATGTTATCCTGAAAGTCCCCTAACCAATACATATTTCTTTTCTTAATGTGTGTCCCACTCTTCCGCCTAGGCAGATGGTTAAGGTGTTTCTGAGGTGCCACTTAATTTAACTTAATAATGAGGTCTAGGGACCCATTTTGCTTTCACATGTAGCATGCAAATTTATAATAGATCATTTCTCAGTACTGAAGCTGAGATTAAACTAGAGAACCATGCACCTAAAACAGGCCTGAACTTATCCTGGCCTGAATCATGTCAAGGGCATCTTGTCTGAGGCAGCTCAGGATTTCATGGCCTCCGTGACCACCATCGGACTGTCCCAACATGATCTCAGCCTGACACATATAATGGCCACGCACTAGACTTGGCTTCTTTTGGCTGGACATGAGGATGGTGCTCTGAGTGTGAAGATTTTGATTTCGCCTCCTTGTCATGGCCAGATCACTGCCTGTTGAGATTCAGGCTGACAACAGCTTTCCTCCTCTGTGGGGCCCACCCTTATTCAGATGGCCCATGCCTGGAAGCTAATGGATCCAGAGGGTTTCCAGGGGGTTCCGGGGGCATTTCTGGTTGGTACAAATGGTGCACCAGTCATAGTTCTGGTTGAAGTCCTCATCACAGAGAAGACCCTAGAAGGTGACACGATTGCCCCTGAGTGCCCTCTCTGTTGTAGATCTCACACTATTCGGTGGTACACCCTGGATTGAATAGGGATGGAGATGGCTTGAGTATAGGTGGAAGTAATATTCTATTGGGTGCAGTTGAACTCTAGTGTGTGCCTATAATCAGGCATATTTAGAGGCAGTGAGGGAGGCAAGGAAGAATCTCGCAGCCTCCACTCTTTAATCTGCTGCCCAAGAAAGCTTTTTAGGTTATCTAGGGCCTATTCCATGCGGGGCATAAAAACATCTTAGACCCATCTGAGGTCTGCAGTAATATATTTGCAGGGCACTTCCAGCTGGGGCTTAGATTTCAGAGTTACAGCAGTTGAATCAAGTGAGGTACCCAGGGCACAGGCTGGCACAGGTTTGGATAAGCGTCTGTTAGTACAGCTTGGGGATATTGAGAAGGTGCTTGGGCAGAATTGTGCAACCACCTATATGCTGGTTTCTTCTCCCTCCTCACTTATAAAAGTCAACGAGGGAGAGAACACCTGCCTGGGCCAAAGAGGTGATTAATGCTTCCTTGCAAAAGGGAGTGGTCCTATGCTGCCTAAAAGAGGTGGTGGTGAGAACACTCCTGAAGAAATCCACCCTTGCCCCAAGACCTTAATAATGTTAGGCCAGTAGCAAATGTTCCTTTCCTGGTAAGGTTCTTGAGCAGGTGGTGGCCAGTCATCCATGGTGTCCTTCTGGGGCAGCTCTCTGAGTTGGGATGCTCTGTGTTGCCATGGTTCTGCTTCTACTTGCAGGGCCGTTTCCAGAAGGTGGGGCTTGGGGAATATTGCTCAACCGCAAGGATTCTCCTGCATGGCGATTTTCATTTGTTCTGTTCCCTATCGTTTTCAACATCTGCACGAAACCACTGAGTCTGTTCATCTGGAATTGGAGTGCATTGCCATTGGTACACCAGTGACAGACAGCTCTATTTTTCCTTTTCATCTCCACCAGGCAAAGCTATGGATGTGCTTCACTAATGCCTGGCTGCACCAATGCACTGGATGAGGGCTAACATTGAAAAGACTGAGTTGCTGTTAGCTGGCAGTTCCTCTGACCAGATAAAGGATGTTGAACCTGTTCTGGATGGGGTTGCACTTCTTTTGAAGCAGCAGGTTCATAGCTTGTGGAACCATCTGAAGCTCAGGTGGCATTCGTGGAATGGAGTACCTTCTACCAGCTTTGACTGGTGGCCCAGCTATGACCCTGTCTGAACAGGATAGACTAGTTTCAGCAATGTGTGCTCTGGTAGTCTCTACATTAGATTACTGCAGTATACTCTACATGGGTCTGTACTTGAAAACTGTTCAGAACCTGCAGCTGGTACAAGATGGGGCAGCCAAATTAATAACTGGGACTTGCAGGTCTGAACATATAAGACCAGTTCTAGCCCAGTTGCATTGGCTGCCTGTGTGCTTCCAAGCCCAATTCAAGGTCCCATTTTGAACTTGTAAAGCCTTACACAGCCGCAATACCTGATGGAACACTTCTCCCAGCGATAAAATCTACCCAGAAACTAAATTCAACAACTGGGGCTGTCCTCCAAGAGCCGATTCCAAGAAAGACTTGGCGGCTCAAAGGGCAGCAATAGGAGGGATTCTCTGAGGTGTCCACCCAAAAATGGAATGTCCCGGGGCCCACCTAGCAGCATCCTCATCATGTTTTTTGGTGCCAGGTTAAGATGGCCCTTTATGCCAAGGCTTTTAAAGATATACATGGTTATTCTTGAAGCAATTACCCATCCTAAGTGTTTTTGTTATATGTTGTTTTAGTTGCTTTTTAAATCATTTTACAATGTTTGTATTTTGAAAAGAACTTACAATTGGGCTTTTTAATTATTGTTATAAAGTGCCCAGAGAGCTTCAATTATAAGGCAGTATAGAAATGAAAAACACGAATGAATAACTAAATCATGAGACTGTTGTAGAATGAAGAAGGAAGCTGAATTCTTGAGGATTTTGATACAGTTCTGGCAGCCACTGACCCATCTGCCCCTTTTTCTTGCAGCAAATCGATGAGATGCTGGCTGGCAGCTTTACTGTAGAGGATGAAGATGCCATCTTAGCTGAATTAGAGGCCATCACTCATGTAAGTGTTAATTAGTGTCCTTAGTAATTGGTTCTTAAGCTTCATTTTGAAGTGGGAATTTTGCATCCATTGGGGGGATTTTCTATTCTGTACGGTTAGCATATTCCAAAGAGGTTCTAATTATAGGTGTCTGCATTTGTTTTTGAAACCTGAAAGCAGTCAGACACATCCTGATGTGTGCATATAAAAAAGACAGCGGTGGGGTAGAATCTCAGCTGTCAAACATGAAGAAAATACAAGGTAGAAAAACCCAGCATGACATAAACCTCAGCAGCCCAACACTTAAACAATTCCCTGTTTTTCCCATATCCACCTCTGGTTTAGAATTAGGGAGCACTTCGTGGCTTGTCCCTGACCTCATGCACAAGTCCAGGACCAAGTCATGGATAAAGAGAGGCAAAAGCCCTTGGCAACTGTAGTGCTTGCCTTGGCTGACAAGGGCAGCCAGAAATAGACAGTCATCTGAGTAGGATGGTGTCAGCTGGTGACCTGCTACAGCAGGGGTTTGAACTCGATGGGCTCCCTGGCCCCTTCCCGCTCTACTATTCTATGATTCTGTGAAATGGTTTATCTCTGCTGTCAGATGTCACCACATATCTGTTGATGATCATTAAGAGTTTGTAGATATTAACTAGACCAATGTTGGGTAACTTGTGGTCTTCCAGATGCTTTGGTTTACAACTCCCATCAGTTCTAGCCAGCATAGGAAATAGGCCTGATGGTGTTTGTAGACTAAAACATCGGAAGAGTCAAAAGTTGCCTGCTGTGAACTAGATGACTCCATGACACTCGGCCGGCCGGACCCACACAGGGGAGTGCCTGTGGGCTTTCACTGCTGCACTGCCCACATGATTAGTCAGAGTAGCAAACCAAGGAAGCCAGTGCTGCAAATGTCTTGTTGCCACCCTTGAAGCGAGGATCTATAGCTCAGAGGCATCTCAGCTTTGAAGTGCTGGGGAGAGAGAGCAGTGATTCTGCTCTTTCCTGTGCATTTGAAAATCCTAGTGTAAAGTTGTTCGTCATCAACAGCATATTTGCTTTATGTTGTGCTTTCTCTTTTTTCAGGAACAGATAGACCTTCCAGAGGTTCCCTCAGAGCCCCTCCCAGAAAAGATTCCAGGTAGCTTATCTGTTTCTTTCCCTTCCCCTCAATATTTCCATTGTATATGGGATGGATGTAGGAAGTTCTTACTTAAGTTTGTTTGAAATATGTCACATGGCAGGTTGGTTGTTTCTGTCCAAGTGGCAAGTCTACACAACACATTTTGAGCATCTCTGAGAATGTTTAACAGTCACTCCAAAAGTTTACTGTGTGTCTTGTGATGCAGCCTTGTTAATAATCTAATGTGCTTGGCATTTATACAGTGCTTTAGAACATTTAAAGCCCCACCCCCATCATCCTTATTATCTGGTTGTAGCCCTCCCTTGCAATAACCTGATGTGGTAGGTCAGTATTAGCCCCTACTTGCAGTTGGGAAGCACTGGGGTTGAGAGTCCACCAAGTGAGTTTGCAGTAGAGGTGAGATTGAACTATCCACTTCCATATCTCTCAGCCATTGCTCTAAATCTTACTGGAATGGGGTAACTTTAATACATGGTTAATTTTCATTTATTCACTCATTTGCATCTAATATTTTAAGCAAAGCACAGGACATTATGAACAGCCATTGGGTATCTTTTTACAGTGCTCAGATAACCTCTCTCCACCAAATTCTCCATTGACATGAGGGTCCCAAATACAGTGTTAAACAAATCGTTCCACCAAAAACTCAATCGACTTCTAATATCCCTCTTACAGAGGGATTCTCTAGTTCCTAGACGGCATCTAAGGGGTCAGAGGATGCATCATATTCTTGGCTCCATGGCTGGGGAAAGGTTCCAGTCTTGGAGCTGGGGATCTGCACTCAGATTCCCCTCACTTCCTGGTAGCTGGCATGGAAAGAATCATATGGACTGTTTCCCCAAAGTCACAGGAATGAAGCAATAAAGAGGGAATTTCGAGGGAATGCAGGAAAACTGGATCCCCTGACATACGAGTTATCCTGGTTTTGCTGCAGCCTGCTTCCCTCCCCTTCTGGAGCGCTGCAGCTAGATGGCTGAAATGAGCCATTTCGCTAAGATGCAGGGTGGGAGGAGTGCGAAGGTAAAGGTCACCTCTGTGTTTCTTTTGCCATGTGTGGGAGACCGGTAATCCTTTGTGTTTGGAAATTTATTCGAATCTCCATTGGATTGTACTCTTAGTCATGCAATAGCTGTTTCATTTTAAAAGCAAACTCTGGCATGTAAAAGGGGGTGGGTAGCGGAGCGAGGAGGCATAGAAAATGGGGATAGGAGGGTAGAAAGTACACTTGGAAATCCTGGGCACAGGATTTCAGCTATAAGTATTAGATTACAGGGTCTTGCTCTGGCTTCTGACATTTTTAGTAAGTTCGTCTGTAGGAAGTAGGCCTAGAATGTTGTGCCCTTAAAAATATTTATGTTGATAGCACTTAAGTTTAGCAGAAAGAGGCACCCCTTTGGCACCCACTCAGCAGCTGACTAGTCATACAAATGGCTGAGCTTCTTAACAACGGAGTCAACAAAAGCTTCCTTTTACTTGCTACAGCACTGCGTGCTGTGAAGCCTTTAGAGCTTTCAGTCTGACTCCTCCATTTTTCCTTGGAAGCTTGGATGGTCACCTACAGGTGCCAGCATTTTCATGATGGGGAGATTTCCCCAAATGAAATGGAACTTGCGGTTGTTTTGGAGTAAGGAAGAAGAATAGGCTTTAAACATACATCTTTCTCCTGCAGTAGTTTTATCCTCTTTTGCCTGCTGCAGAATCTCTTGCCACTGCCTCTCTATTCACAAGAATACTAGTGAGAGTTGCAGTATGGCCTGTTGCTGGCTGTGAACATCACCATACGGATCTACCGTGTCTCTCTCCTTATGGAGAGTATTGCTTGTCAGCTGGAGAGTAAAGCCCTGATGCTCTTCTGCCCAGACTTGGTTTCTTCAGTGAGATTTGAGAACTTCTGTTGGTGGTGCTTTCTTCGAGTGTTACCTCATTTGTTACTGTCCCCAGTAGGTAAGGGCATTGAACTGTATGAAGGCAGCACCAGGAACATTTTCCTGCTTTGTCACAACCACACAGTCACTCCAGAACATTTCAAAAGGAAAATCAATCTTTTCTCAGAATGGGGACCAACCAACAGGCGTCTGCTTGGCCAGGACGCATGTAGGAGCAGGTAGCAAAGTTGCCTGTGACCTGGAGAGCTGGGTGCAATCCTTAAACCTTTGGTCTGAATTTGGTTAGTTCTGACCCCATTATAAAGAGTTAACTCCTCCCGCTTGATGTATCTTTTTCCTTTTCTTCACAGAAATATCACCAGTCAGAGTCAAACCAAAGCCAGAACTGGTGGCCGCATCTTAACTCCACTCCCCGGGGCATCCTGGCACCTAGCAAGGAATCCTGGAATCCGACCATGCCGGGTGTGCAAGAGATCTCTGTCTTTTCCTGTTGGCAGTAAACAGCCATGCTGGAGCAGGTTTCCTGCACAGAATGGAAACTGTAACTGGTTAATGTTCCCATATCAAGATTATTTTGTAGCGTGCACACGCCTCCTTTTTGTAACTTAAACTGGATTAAATAGTGACTCTCAAACCCTTCAAGCCAAATGCTTTCTACAGACCAGATTTCAACTGCAGACCTGCCTCAGATGCCCACACAGCCTCTTCGTAGCTTGGCTAAGGCCCCTGTTGGCCTTTTCAACTTGTAGGCACTGTGAAGAGTTACAGGCTTTCTGCTGCACTGAGGAACAGACCGCTGGGGACTCTCTTGGCCTTCCTCTCAACTTGCCTCTCTTCAGTTCTCTGGTTTTCTTGAATCAGTTTTCTTTACAGACATGGAATTCCTGAACGTTGCCTGGTCCCACCGTTTAGATATGTTAGCTCAATGCTGCGATGGGAGCCTGGCTTCCATTGCGAGCAACATCTATTTGTGCTAGCCTGCTAGTATAGATAAAAGATGACGACCCCGTATTCACTGTGCTCTCAAGATGAGCACACTTATATAGTTCTATGCACTGGGGAGTAATGCAGAGCTACTGGACTCGATCTCTAGAAAATAAAAGGCCTACTTCCTGCTGAGATAGGAGTCTCAAGTGCGTGCTAAGGAATCATGGTTAAGCTCCCACATACGCCCTACTTTTTCTTCTTATCCATGGCACAGGGCTGCTGAACAGAGTTCGGCTTCTGGATGCTTCTCCAAGGGAGGGGTCTTTGGTAGATGGAAAGCAGCTTCTTGATTACCTTTGCTCTTCCCAGCCTATCACATTTGACCGTTGGGCTGATAGAGAAAGTATAACACCTTTTCAGTGGCAGGGATCTGCCTAGGGTTTTTGCTTTGTTCTTACAATAGATGGAAAAGTCAGGAATACATGGAGCTGGGGTCGCCCCACATGGGATTATATATAATTTTCCTCTTAAAGAAGACATTCTGTGTGTGCGCGCACATTTGTGTCTGATGCCCCCCCCCACTGCCGCCGCCGCCAAAGAGATAGAAAGGGCTGGATCCCAGTTACCTCTGTGGTGTCATTGCCTTACAGGATTTACTGAAAATTTGACCTGAGATCATGTGGCTTCAGGAGCCTTAAGCTTTATCATGAGCTGCCTCTACAGTTGCTATCCATCTGTCCATCTTTGGTGGTCTGCACTGAGCACCACTTTTGCCTCTGTAGGGCAGCACTATCCAACCCACTGAAGTGGCTCAGCCTTCATTTGCGGCTGGGCAGTTGAATATGTTGATGCAAGACTGGTTTTTCGATCTACAGCAGTAGTAGAGGTCCCTACTAGCTGCGCTCTTGCTTTCTGGGGTCAGCAGTTAATAGCTGAAAAATACTTCTTGTGTTTAACCCTTTTTCTACCCCACACCCCCAAACCTTGTTAGATTATGGAACTGTAGCTTGATGCTCTTACAAAACATGAGAGGTAGCTCTACGGGAATTGGGCATCAGAGAACGTGGTCCTTTTCTAGTTGGTTTTTCAGTTTTTTTCTGCTGGAAGTGACCTTGGATGTTTGATCCTCAAAAGTCCACAGTGGGCATTTTTCTTCTATCCAGTGGGGCCCTATAATAAGGCGGGTTCTTAATGCCACGATTGGGCCTTTCTCCCCCTCAGATAGCATCAGGAAGGTCAAGCACTGAATTGGAGAGATCTTCCTTGAGTTGATGGTTCACACTTGAAACTCCTTTTCTGTAATGCACTTGCATGCCAGATTGGAATCATTCAACTACCCTTCACATCTGAGAGCAAAGCAAGCTATGGAAGTATGTTGTGGTTTCTTAAAGTTAAGTTTGCTTGTGGCCAGAACTGACTGGTACTGCTGTTTTTGCTTTGTTCACCAGGGGGCAGCCCTGTCCTTAACCTGTTCATCAGTGAGGCCGTGAATGAACATTTTCCCCTTCTGTCTTATCCTTTTAGTTGTTCTGGGTTAGTTGCATTGACTTTTATTTTATTTTAAATTTTTGGAGCAAATGGAATGGTGCATTGGAACGAGCATGAGTCCTTTTCCATTGGTGTCATGAGTATTATACAGACATTCAGCTCTCTTACGGGAGGTATTAAGTGAGCTCTGTTGGGCTCAGAGTTAATGCAGCTCAGTGCCTGGGGAGTAGGTAGAAACATGTTTCTTCTTTTGCTGCCCATAAGAACAGGAAAAAAGAGCTAGTGAAAATCAGACTTCTACCAACCCCATGGAAGGCAGCAGTGTGCATGTGTAAAATGGCCTTGGAAAGCAACCATGGAGCTAACAAAATTGCTTTTCTCTGCGGTTTCCCAGTTGGTGCCCTCTCTGGTTGAAGTCAGTTGGAATTGGAGCTGTCATCCTGAATCCATAAAGGCCCCAAACTCTCCTCTCGCTGTGTGTGAATACAATATTTACGTTTCTTGGCTGAATCCTTCACAGCTTCTCAAATAGCAAAGGCAGAAACTGTGTAGGTAGCTACAATAAAATGTTTCTAATGCCTTTGTCTTCTACTGTCTAGTCACATATCTTGGGACCTGAAGCACTTGGAGTGTGGGGTGGAGATGATGGCTCCTGGGGATTGTTCTTGCTCTGGAAAGACACCTCGGGAAGAAAAGCTCTTTCCAAAAGATTTGCTTCAGCAGAGAACAGACGTTGCAGTGAATGGCACTCAGCAACTGTAGAATGTATGCCAGGGGTACTAATTATGAAGCAGCTGCATTATTGTTCTGTGATGGGGTTGGGCAGAATACACTCCATGGCCAACCTTGATGGCTCCCTGTATGGCCTATGGAGACATGGGACTGCTGAACTGTGAAGGTGGGCTGGGGAATGCTGTTCTTGCAGTCCTGCCAGTGAAAGCTGTTCTTGGTATGGCTCGTAGTGGTGGACAAATGGGTCTCACTGGCGATTGCTGGGGGCAGGCTAAGAGAAAAGCCCCTCTTCACACTCCCAGCAAAGGCCTGGAAGGCAAGCAGGAGTGTAGGTGCAGCTCTTCATGCATGTAGAAAGACTGAACTCATTTCAGTTTCAGTATTCAAAATAAATTATTGGGCCCAGGATTCTTTAGTTCCAAGTGTCTTGTCTTCTGCAGCAGGCTTTGGTAGGCGGTTCTTGGGGTTTTAGAAGAAAACAAAACCAGTAAACCAGTTAGCATGATACAAGCACCAGTGGCTTTTTTCAAAGTGGAAGGTAGGCCAGAGAGCAATGTGACAGCCTGCAGAGTGGCTTCTCTGTGGTGAGCATGTTTCTTGCGGAGTACAGGGAGGGGTGCTCGCTCGTGTTCACTTGTGCTTTGCTCTCTTGGCTTGAAAGCTCACTCTTCCTACTCAAAGGAGTTGTTCTCCACACAGAGCATTCCCCAGCAACTGGCAATCTCAGCACAGAAAACAAAGCAGGTTTAGTTTTCTCTAATGTATCCCTAGGAATAAATTATTTGGAAGCACTGGTTATGCGAGTGCTGATGTCTTTAAATGGAGCATTACTCTGTAGTTGTCTCTGCTTGACACCGGCTTGGTATGCAAGCTACCTTGTCTTGAGGGAGGTCCTGCCTTTTCAGCTTGGGTGTGAGTGAACATCTTTCCTCCCAAGCCAGTCGTTGCGTGTAATGTACACACATCTTCCTATGGAGGAGTAGCTTCTGTCTTTCCTTTTTTTAAATGGGGGCTTTTGTAACTGCTTGGCCCTGATGTGGTTTTTATGCCAACCTTATGGAGTCCTGGGCTGCAGAGAGGAGGAGCTTGCTCAGATATTGGCCAAATCACCTGTTTCTGGGGCAAAATCAGAATGGGTCTTCTGAATTTTTCTATAGATACTTTACCTAAGTCTTCCAGCTCTGCATGGTTCTGCTTTGCAGCATTCAGCTATCTGTGATAACGGACAAAGGGGATGATACTGAGCATGTTGGAGAAGGTGTGTGTCCCACGGATGTTTCCCAGAGAAGTGGCAGCTTACACTGAAGGACAGCTGAGATGGTTTTCCCTTGAAACCGGCAGAGATTCTGTCCACCTGGTAGCCTGACATTTTCAGTGGTAGACCAGAGCTTGCAAACTTGACAGAGCAAATTGTTAGTCCAGTCTATGAATTCTAAGGCAACTTACGAAGGAAGGATCTTAGCAATAGCCAAGCTGTACTCCAGCCCTAACCTTTTCCTCAGTTTCTGGTCATCCAGTGGGGGTTCCTCAGTGGTATTACAAGGCATCTGGCCAGAAGGTTGGCAACTTCAGGGTTTATAGTTCACATCCCCAGCTTGCATTTTCCAATGTGCTGAAAGGGAAATTCAGGAGGATTCCCATGTCAGGAGGTTATAATGTAGGCTGCATTTCACTCGAAATATTAACGAACCTTGAATGCTTTTCAGTGGCATATTCTAATGAATGAAACAAGAACCAGGTTTAGCAGTCAAACTCCATAGGAGGTGGGAAGCATGTTTCATCAAAGGCATGTTTAGCTGCCTCTTGGGTATAGATATGAGTAAGCTCTTCCGGGAGAGGAATACTGTAACAGTGCTGTTTATTCCTGATGCTGTTTGCAAGACTTAATACTTGGAGCAGGGCCTCTCCTGGTAACCTTAACAGAGAAAAGCACTCTGTAATGCAAGGGACATATGATCCAGATTGTTTGTGGCTTTAGAGGTTAAAAATGGCCACTAGAAGTAAACATTCAAAGCAAATACCGCAAAACAGTTGTGGCCCACTTATTTTGGGCAATTGTAGGGTAAAACATCTGGAAGGCCACAGCTGCCATGTCCTTCATCATCAGTTATGCTGACTAGGATTGATGGGAGTTGTAGGCCAAAGCATCTGAAAAGCACAGGTTGTTCACCTTTGACTTACAGGGTCCCTTACCAATTGAGAGATAGGCTGTTGCCTTTTGGATTCTTTAAGGACATCCCCATAAAGTACGTTACAAAATTATCAGCACTTGGTGCTTAAGACCTCTTCTGTAGCCATACTTCTTGTCACCTGATTAAATCCTATATTTTGGGTCCCGGTTCCTTATTGGGAATTGGGAGCCTGTGCAGACAAGACAGGAAGTGGTGGAGAGCATCTGCATTCCCAGATGGATTGCCTTATCTTGCTGGCCCGGCATCTGGATTGCACCTCCGGCTGTTCTGTTTTTTCTCACATAGCCTCCAGCCC